TGTGTGTGTGTGTGTGTGTGTGTGTGTGTGTGTGTTTGTGTGTGTATGTGTGTGCGTATGTGTATCCGATTTTCTTGCTCATGAGATTTGCCAAAGCACTCAGACTCACCCAGTGTACTGACAGATAAGGAAAAAATCTGCTCGCTGCACTTCTAACTAGTCCCCATTAGTCTATTATTACATTCCAATCCCCTGTGAGAACTGCAGTAGAGCACAAACCTATCCTGAAATAGAGAGCTCATTTTTCTGAGAAGTCAGTTCTGCATAATCGCGTCGGACTATAAGTCGGACGTGAGAGTGTGCCTTTATCAAATAAAAAGAATAATATGCATAATTAATAGGCTTTGCTTGTTGACCTCAATCAATTTGATATTTTTAGCATGGGACGTCATTGGTTAATTTGCGCCATCCACATAGGAATGATAATTAACCTAGACCGTGCACTCTGGCGTATTCCCTGTTAATATTTTATGGAATGCACCATTTTACTCGATTTGAGGCAAACGAAGAGCAAGCGGCGAAAAAAAGGTGTCTCGAGAACTCGACTGGAGCGAGACAGCAGATGTTTTACCTTCCTTTTGGACGTAGTTGTGCAGCTTATTATGGTGCGCAAGGGACGAGCGTTGGTCGTGAACAGGCGTATGTGACGTAGCGGTTAGACACTTTTCTGTCCCATGCAGGAGAACCGAGATCGATTCCCAATCGGGATGATTTTTTTAAAAAGAATAATCAAGTACCCAGGTCTTTCTGCTGGAACGTTGTATCCGTCTCAGCCCAGGCTGGTCCTGACCATAGATGTACACTATAGTGCAAAAGGAGAAAACTCTATGGTCCTGACAGACAGGATCGGAGCATACCTCCTACATGATCTAAATTATAATTGTATCGATGAGTGTGTAAAAACTCCTACATTAAAAAAAAAAAAAACTATTTGCCATGACAGTGCGCGGTCTAAGAGTGCAAGTCATTGGTATACCGCCTAGTCCGCTACTCGGCGAACCGTAATACTGTTCTATCACCGCTGTAAGCGTCATTATTATACGCGACAAAGGTAAACATTGGTTATTAAATGTGCACTGAGCGGCGTCACATGAAACGGTTTGACGTCACACAAAAACAAGCAATTAATTTTCTCCAAAGAGCACATCTCGAACTGAACGCCAATTTACCGAGAAAATAGTGCCTTGCAAATAAATTTCCGGCAATTTGACTGATAACTGATATTGTTGATAGGTCTTTTTTTTTTTTTATCAATTTATTTATTTTTGTTTGTTTGTTTGTTGTTGTTTTGTTTTTTTTTGGGGGGGGGTTCTTTTTGTTTCTTTCGCGAACTTTTTTTGTGTGGTGGGGAGAGGTGTTTGTGTGTGT